ATCCTTCGAGTCCCGTTTTAATCGCTAAGCGACAGTGCAGCTTAAACGCGTCTCGAGTTTGGGCCGCCGGTCTTCAGGCTCTTAGTGCGTTGGATTGGTCGAGCGTGGATGAAGCTTACGGTTCGGTTCGCAGATCCTTCCAGAAGGCGACGTTGCCCAAGTCGCGATCCTCGGCCATGGTCATATTGTTCGGATCGACCATGCGAAGGTATCTCACGGTAGCCTCTGCGCCCTTCTGAACCACGGGCTCCCATGTGACGCCGGGAATGCTGGGGTTCCTGCACATTCATCAATTATAGGTCCCGTTCTAATTCGGAGTATCACCAGTACAGTACGGAAACGTGTGTGTGTTCAATAATTTGCCTGGACCATCCATACCAGTCCTACAATTTACTACAACACTATTTCTAACAGCGAAGTCTCAAGTGGTTTCAACACGGTTAGCGCGACTCCTTGAAAAACAAGGACGGTTTCAACAGCTGGATTTTTGGACTTATTTTGCTGATTGGATGATGTTTGTCGCCATCCTGGACAAACGGCTGGCCGGAACTAGACCAAATTTGGTTTCGAGGTGGGCCGGCACCCTCCTAACCGAGGGGGCAAAAACTCGGGATTTTCGTGTACACATGATTCGGAAAACGCAATGATTGCGCATGGTTTTAATTGATTTCATGGCTGATTTTGCCTTATTTCGCGACGCACCAGGGTGATGTTGAGCGTGATTGCGTGTGATTGTGTTCGGAAAGAAATGATTTCGGACTGATTTGGCCTGGTTTCGTGTGATTCTGCCAATTTCGGTCGATTTTAGTGTTTTTGGCTGATTTCGGATTGCTTGATTTCGCGTGATTCTCAATGATTCGCGTGTGATTTCGGGGGCCGTGTACACATGATTGCGCGAGTTTTTGCCCCCTCGCTCCTAACCCGATTCCGAAGTCAAAAGTCCCGGACACCAAGTAGGCTCGTGGCCAGAGCTACTTTGGCCTCGAAAAAATCACCACTTCCTCCTCCGCCTGGACGGCGGCCTCGTGGTACGTCCTCGTATCTCCGAAAGTACTGGACGTAGAAGAAAACGGACTTTGGCGTTGGCCACTGTGAGACCCGGCAGCCTCAACGGCACGGAGAAACATGGGGGTCGTCATGGTGAACCCCAGGGGACGTCATCGGGGACCTCATGACGTGGTCGACGACGTAACTCGAGCTTTTGCGGACAAACAAGGCGGTTCCTTGAATCGGCAGAGACCAACCAAGGCGTCCCCTTGGAAGTGCACCCCAAAAACAAGGCGGGCCGTTGGAATTTGTCTGGAGTCCAAGAAAACAAGGGACTGGCCTTGGAAAACAAGGGAGCCTCCTTAGAATGGGAGCACACTTTCAAGGAACTTCCTTGAAGTGTTCCATCTTTCCTTGTTTTTCAAAGACCGTCCTTGTTTTTCAAGGAGTCGCGCTAACCGTGAAAGTGTCATCGGCTGTTGGGCAAATGACCTATAGTCCACTTACGAGGTTTGGATGAAGGCAAACCACATGTCAAGGATGGTTCTGCGGATGATGAGATCATCCTGCCGGTGGAAGACTCCGCTCTGCTCCAGCGGATACAGTTGGTCATCAGAATGGCCAACGCCCAGTCCGCCGGCGTAATTGCTGTACTCTCCGCGGTGAGCGAACTCATACACGTACACGGGCTGCGACTGCACCGCCGCGCGCTTCGAGATGTGGCTGGACACCCCGGACATGAAGTTGCCGTCGGTCATGAGCTGTTCCCCGAGAAAACGTCTTGTTATCCCCACACGGAAAGAACGGCTTTGCTGGTTTTCCCAAGACCTCCCAGAAAATCATGCATGTTTTTACGTTAGGTAAGTGTCTCAGACCTGAGACACTTCCCTTGCCCTTGTAAGGTAAAGACATAAGTGTTACATCCCGATTTTGATCATATTTTGGGAATCTTTTCCACTATGCAATAGACAAATTTTCCGCTTAATAGTTGCTGCTGAGATATATTACAACAATTTTGAAAGTTAAGGTCCAACTTTCCAACGACACTTGTTTGATATCCAAAAGTATGATTTGTTTGATTTTGGAGTAAAAGAACAAAATTGTTCCTCCTTGTAAAAGTCAAAAACATTTAAACAACTCAAAATCATATTTTTGACCATAAAGCCTCCAAACGGACTTAAAGGTCTGATTTCTGAACAAAAACTTTGCGCTCCAAAATCTAAGAAAAAAAATCACAATTTTGGACCATTTGAAGGCCTTTTGTAAGAACGAAAAGAAAACTTTTTGCTCCAAAATTTAAAAAAATCCCCCAAGAACAGCTTTTGTACACTGCTAAATCTGAAGCATTGTTGAAAGCTTCATTCGGTCATAAAACTGCGCTTGAAAACTTTACGCCTGAAGTCAAGCGTATCGAAGAAATTCTCCCATGCACATGAGGTATGCTAAACCTACCTTCAGCAGCTGCTCCTTTGACGATGCCAGAGAATTGTTCTGGAGGTAAAACTTGCGGATTTTCCGGGCGAGTATCGGTCTGTCTGCTTCAGGCACTCGTTTGTCGTGGAAGCTGAGCAGCTGCGGTGCCACTGTCTCCCAGTGCTCGTCCAGGTCCCTTACCAGCGAGTCGTTCAAGATGAATTCTGAATCGTAAAAAACGCTGATAACCCGACGAAGTATTTTGGCCATATACAAGCTATTTCACTGTCATTCCACTTGCGATACAGACCGCACTTTCTGCGCAATACAAATTTGATCACACTTTACTGTGATGATCATAGCAAAAAGGTGTGATGAGCTACAGTATCGCAGAATTTTGCAATGATCATTGCAAAAAACTGTAATGATTCGAGATTTTGTGTTATCATCGCAGTTTTTTGCAATAATTCCGATTTTCATTGCAGAAAGTTGCGATGATCATTGCAGAATTTTGTGCGATACTGAAGTCATTGCATCTCAGGAGCAATGATTCGTGGGAATCACATTTTGGATATCATCACGCATTTTTGTGTTGAAAGTATCGTAACTTGGATAACAGTGTTGTTGTACTAAGATTTTGTAGATTACGAGGTACTTTGGTTAAGCTTATGTATGTTCAAACTTTCGTTAGACCAGGATACTCATGTTTGTAAATACAAAAGAAGTAAAAGCACAGGCCAATATCACTAGTCCTGAAATTTCACACCAAATTTGAACCCACAATGTCCCTTTGTTTGGTTCGAATCGCGCTAACCACCGACCTGCACTCTCAGCACGTTAATGACCTTTTCCTCATTAATTACGTATTCCTATAAACGGCAATAATACTTGGTATTTTCTAAGTAAGTATGACTAATTTCCTTTGTAAAATTATGGACAAAACAAAATTTTCAGTACATTACTCAATATTTCCTAAGTAGTTCTTTAAAAAAAAGAAGTGCGTATTATGGTTGCACAAATTACTTCCATAAGTGCCGACAAAATGATAAAAAAGTCAATAACGTGCTGAGAGTGTGCATTTTTCGCATTGGTTAATAGAAATTCGACGATCTCACAATAGCTGCTTCAGGCACCTATCAAAATTTATGATTTTGATCTTAAGTTACAGTATGAAAAGATCCTATGATCAGGTTTGACGTCCCAAATGTCATCCGTCCGCTAAAAAATTGGCGGAAGCAGTCATTTTTGACCTTACGTAGTGTACTACCCCCTTTGAGATCCCTTTTGGTCGGTTCTGCACAAAGAATCTCATTTAAGACGCAGGCGAATTTCCCAAAGTTTAATCATTTGATACAGCTTTAAATAAAACGCAATCGTTACGTTATCCATACTAACATAAAGAGGAAAGATAGAAGAGTCCAGTGGTGCTTGTAAGAATGCATTCCGTTAGCTCTCTTATCCGTCCCATATGATGGTTCGTATCCGCGAAAATCGTTTAGGGTTTAGTTCTTCCTTCCGAAACGACCAGCCAAGATCTTATACATTGAAATGGTTAAGTAATAATTTTTAATAGGTCCCCTCGAAGGAACGCCGCAGAATATCCATTCCTGCCATAAACTGCCCTGGACTAGCTACATCCATTTCTGCCTCACCTCCCGCGGGAAACAGCCCTTCGATGGGAACAAACCCGAGCAGTAGAGGCACGTCCATGACGGCGTTGACGTCCTCCAGCACCTTCTCCGGCTTGTCAGTCAGAAAGACGCCGTCGACGACAACGGAAAACGGCGAGAAGGGGTTCCCCATCCAAGGCTAGACGCGAAGAGGAAAAGCAGAATTCTCTGGGAAAAGTCACACAAACGTCCTTCCAGGCGTTTTATGTATGTTTTGTTTATTCCACTGTAAACATTTGAGTCGTCACTCAATGAAAATTTCAAGGCTAATTTTCCTTACAACAATGTCATCAAAACAATTCAGGACATTGTTGTCACGCCCTATGTGTTACGAGATTGTCATCTTTTGAAAGTGATGAGAATATCATCCACGTTTTTGTCATAAAAAGACAACAATTTTTTACAATGTGTGGAGGACGCTGCTATACGGATCGAGGGGGTTTTGAATCCTCTGGTTCGCATACAGAGCAATCGTAAGCATCAGTACGTCCGGTAAAAAGGTGTGGCTGCCACACGGCCGCGTAGCAGCGCGTTCTGCTGTAGTAGTGGCAGCCTTTGCCGCCTTTGCTCCTGCAACAGCCGCCTGTGGCAGTGGCAGCTACCGCCGTTTGGCAGGCCAGGCTCCTTTTTAAGGGGGGACCCTGGTGAAAAAATCGCCAAAATTCCAATAGAGCTAATTTATTTAATACGTGCAACGCCTTCCCATGACCCCCTCCGATTTTGACCAAATTTTTTTTCTGAGATGCCCTTATGGTAAGAAAAAACATCCTAAAATATTAGGTCGCTAAAAAATTTATTAGCCGAGAAAAACAATGTTTTCTAAATTTGCCACTTTTTTTACCTAATTTGGGAGTTTCTTTACTATTTTGAGGTTTATGGTGCTTAGTGGCTGAAAATCAGTTTCCTTATGTAAAATTGCCCAAGGAACAAGAATATAGTCACAGATTTGATCTACGGCCGATATCTTGAGAAATACTTACCCAAAACGACCAAATTTTACTGAAAATACCCAAATTTTGGGGAAACGGTCAAAAATATTTTTTTATCCACGATCCGTTGACGCCATCTTGTAGAAAAAGAGCTAATAAAGCTCATGAGCACACGCCCAGGTTCGTAGCTCAAACCGTTTAGAAGCTGTAAGGCGTCAAAGTTGGAGGTTTTTTCAGGGGGCCTGAAAACCGACACTTTTGACCTCTGCGCTCAATGTCCGTCACCCGAGCCGTGAGCCGTACCAGCCATGATCCTTGCTTTCGAGGTGAGGTCTGCGTGCGCAATGGGAGTCAAGAAGAGGGTGAAGCGGCACAGCGTTTCTGAACAGGGTCCTCTTTAGAGCGCCTGAACAGCCGAGGGTTGGTATAAGCTCACCAAACGGCGCTTGGAAAGCACTTGCTGCACCGTGGGCTCGCTCAAGGCCACGGACAATGCTATTCGGTGTAAGTCTCAAACTGTCGCCCTCGACAAGCTTCGGATTCTGTTGGCTGCCCCTTCCTTCTCTCTCTTTCCCACATGGTCCAAAGCCGTTGCCCCCGACCCCTCAACCTGCCCCCAATACCGGATATTTTGTGTGTTGTTTCAGATGAATTTCAAGCTTTTTGTCGGAAGCTGTCGCCCTTTGGTAAGCTTAGGAAGTTCTTCGGAGTCTGTCAGCGTTTCCCCGGCGGTTTTCTCGCTTTCCCAACCCTGAGGGGTCGAGGGCAAGGGGTTTGAAAAGTTGGGAAAGGGTGGAAAACAGCAAGGGGCAGCCGACGACTTGCGATTCTCTCCCGAACCTTCCTGAGGGCGACAGCTGGAGCATGGTGAAAACGGAACCTGTTTTCCCAGGAAGCTTTTGGTAGAGACACAGGCCACTTCCAGAGAGTTCCTGGGAAAACCAGGTTCCGTTTTTACCGTGAGACCATAACCGAACAAAAGCTTGAAATTCGTCTCAAACAACACACAAGTTATCCAGTGTTTGGGAGGTTAAGGGGTCGAGGGCGGTGGTTCGGCAGGGAAAGGAAGAAGAAGAAGAAGAGTGAGGAGGGGGGTGGAGATTGCGGCCGACAGAATCCAAAGCTGTTAGAAGGCGTTAGCTCGCTGTCTGAAGGTTGAAACAGGTTTCCCGTTTTCGTTTTCCCTAAATTTGGCCTTCTTAATAGGGTGAAACTTTCTATTTTCTCTGACCTTTTTCTCTAGTTTTATTCGCAAGGTTCAATACTTTAAGGAGGTATAAATAGGTATTAAATACGATATTATTGATTTCCGGAGCGAAACGCATGAGCTAAGCAAGCACCCCTACTTCGCATTACTTACACCTCATGCCAGCTTTTAAAATTTTCCCAATCCTGGTTGCGATTTTCCCTTACCTAGTTACGGTTTTCCCTGACCTCCAACGTCTCTTTAAATTTCCATTACTTTACTATGACTCCCCTTATTTCTCTGACCAGTGTGAACGTATGAACCTGGCGTTGCCCTCGAGCTGTCGACCGCACTCTCAGACTGTTATTGACTTGTCTGTAGTTAAAGAGAATTTTACACAGCAATAAAAAGTACTGTTATTATATATGTAAGATTTTGTTCGTTATATGACCTAGGGTCAGGGCGGGGAAGAACTGGACAGGGGGAAAAACTGGACACCCCATATTTTACTTCAAATACCGTAGGCACAGGAAAAACAACTATCAAAAGTTGTTCCGTGGCATCAGCGGTTCATTACACGACAGTTGTCAGGTCAGTACATACGGCAATTGAAGTAAAATGTGGGGTGTCCAGTTCTTCCCCTGTCCAGTTTTTCCCCGCCCTGATCCTAAGCAGATGATTTTCAAGCTTTTGTTCGGTTATGGTCTCAAGCTGTCGCCCTCAGGAAGGTTCGGGAGAGAATCGCAAGTCGTCGGCTGCCCCTTGCTGTTTTCCACCCTTTCCCAACTTTTCAAACCCCTCGCCCCCGACCCCTCAGGGTTGGGAAAGCGAGAAAACCGCCGGGGAAACGCTGACAGATTCCGAAGAACTTCCTAAGCTTACCAAAGGGCGACAGCTTCCGACAAAAAGCTTGAAAATTTATCTGAAACAACACACAAAATATCCGGTATTGGGGGCAGGTTGAGGGGTCGGGGGCAACGGCTTTGGACCATGTGGGAAAGAGAGAGAAGGAAGAGGCAGCCAAGAGAATCCGAAGCTTGTCGAGGGCGACAGTTTGAGACTTACACTGAATGGCATTCTCCGTGGCCTCGAGCGAGCCCACGGTGCAGCAAGTGCTTCCCAAGCGCCGTTGGGTGAGCTTACCAACCCTCGGCTGTTCAGGCGCTCTAAAGAGGACCCTGTTCAGAAACGCTGTGCCGCTTCACCCTCTTCTTGACTCCCATTGCGCACGCAGACCTCACCTCGAAAGCAAGGATCATGGCTGGTACGGCTCACGGCTCGGGTGCCGGACATTGAGCGCAGAGGTCAAAAGTGCCGTTTTCAGGCCCCCTCAAAAAAGCTCCAACTTTGACGCCTTACAGCTTCTAAACGGTTTACGAACCTGGGCGTGTGCTCATTAGCTTTATTAACTCTTGTTCTACAAGATGGCGTCAACGGATCGTGGGTAAAAAATATTTTTGACCGTTTCCCCAAAATTTGGGTATTTTCAGTAAAATTTGGTCGTTTTGGGTAAGTATTTCTCAAGATATCGGTCGTAGGTCAAATCTGTGACTATATTCTTGTTCCTTGGGCAATTTTACATAAGAATACTGATTTTCAGCCACTTAGAACAAAAAACCTCAGAGTAGTAAAGAAACTCCCAATTTAGGTAAAAAAAGTGGCAAATTTAGAAAACATTGGTTTTCTTGGCCAATAATTTTTTTAGCGACCTAATATTTTAGGATGTTTTTTCTTACCATAAGGGCATCTCAGAAAAAAATCTTGGTCAAAATCGGAGGGGGTCATGGGAAGGCGTTGCACGTATTAAATAAATTAGCTCATTAATAGTATTTTCAAAGTTCATAGATAGAAATGTGCATAGAAGGTTTCAGATTCAACAGGTTGAACACCTTTAAGCTAAGTGGGTAGTTTCTTTATCATTTGGAAGGAAATAACATTGAGATCAGTTGTCGTTGGCTTCTACGCTCAACTTCACAGCTTTGCTCAGTCGACAAAAAATTTTGTCGTAGAAAGACTTCCTGCGTTCCTGGTTGACACCTACATGAGTCGTCTTGCATGGACTCTATTCATTGATGACTTGTCGACAAATTTTAGTGACGGAATCTTGATATCAGCCCTACTTTTTTTAAAACACACTTGAAAGTTTGAAAAAAAGGGAAAAAAATCACTTTTTTTTAAATGTTAAAATTTGAAAACTCATATCTCAGGACAGAAGTTGAATTTGAAAATTCCGTCACTAAAATCTCTTCTATACATCTTTAGGATAACCCAAAAAAATTTTCAAGATTTGCCGTCCCAATGAAAGACGCAGGAAGATTTTTCCCCAACGCCCCAAAAAACACAAAAAAGCCACTTTTCTCAGAGACCGTTCAACATTTTGGATTGAATTTTTTTTTGGGAACTCCCCTAATGACCTAATAATTAAGAAAATTTTAACTTTCTGGGATTATTTTGAAGCCTACTTGAAAGTTTCACCAGGGTCCCCCCTTAAAGCAGCCAGGCTACCCCGCCCTTCCGCACCCCCTTGGCTGCCCCCCCACCACACATTGCCTCCAGCGCACCGGCGCTCGGGCTAAGAGCGGTCCATGTGCCTCCCTCCTAAACGAGTCAGATAGTCTCGGGGTAGCACGGTGCGCTCCGAGTCGGAAGGGAGGGGATTAACTCCTCGCGCCGAATGTTTTGCCGCGGCGCTCATTTGGCTGCAACGGCCGCGCGTAGCAGCCAGCTGCAACGCCACACGCGGCAGCATTGGCTGTAACGCGTGGCGTAAGGGAGGGTGGGGCACCTAGTGACACTTTTTGGATTTTGGCACTCACTCCGATACTGTGCGAGAAATGAATCTGCTTACACCCCAAAGGTTGCTTTGATTTCCTTGATCGCAAAAACATGATGTGGCTTTTTGACAACCCCTTTTTCTATTATTTACATAGCTTCCCGCAGACCTCTGCACTTGTCACTTGGTGCCCCAGCCCGGGGCACCTAGTGACAGTCATAAAACTCACATTACCAGCATAGAGCGACGCTCCAGCTTATTAAAAATTATCTTTTTTAGACTCTTTAAGCTTTTGAAATATCAACCATTCTGAACGGCGTCTTTTTCCCAAGAAACTGCATTTTACTAATTGCCAATCAAATTCAATGTTCTACAAAATTATGTCGTACAAATTAGTCTCTTTTATGTTTCGTTGTGTGACAATCGGTGACAATTTACTTCGCGGTTGCCAAACCGATGTTTTGAAACGTTTAAACGTTGAAAAACGGACATAAAATGTGTCTGTCACTACCTGCCCGGGGGCCATTTCCGTTCAAAATTTTATATTAAGGAAATGAAATCATATGTTTGAGCTGGTTCAGCGAAAAAAACTTACTAAAGGTCCTTATTATAGATTAAAAGTGCCAGAACGATCGGCAGTGCCCTGTACTGGAAGAATAACGAGAAAACATTTTGGAAAAAGTCGTAAAATCTGTGATTTTTGGTAATTTTTATTTTTCTTTTTTTCTAGGAGCTAAACCATTTTTTTCAAAGTCTCACTTTCACTTGAACATGATTCCACAGAACAAAAACCTTTAGATAAGCCAAATGAAGGTGTCTGAAAGTGCCATAGGGTGGCCAGGGCACCCCCGTGTCACTAGGTGCCCCCGTCACTAGGTGCCCCACCCTCCCTTAGCAGGCGCGGCTAAAAGACGTGAGGCAGCCGCGTCTGCGAGCTTGGAACGCGACAACGGCTCCTTTACAAAGCAGGCACACTTTTGCAGTGCGCAGTTATTACGATCCTACTGCTCCTCAAAAGTCGGGTGCCTTTACAGTTTTGGGGTGAAATTGGTATATATCTTATTCGTAATACGCATTATGACCAGTAATAACCTATCAGAGCGTACAGAGTACAACGCGAGGAACTCTGTATTGCCCTTGTTTGGCGACACATTTTTGAATCGCCCTATTTTGGTCCTCCGTACCCTTAGCCCATTTTCACTGTTGTCCGTGATAGCAGGGTTTTGGTATCCAGGACTTAATGATGATTTTATTTGAAATTCGAGACAACAAAGCCGTTTTTGTATATACAGTAAAAGGGGTGAATTCTTTCCATCTCTAACTGCACAAAACTATCCATAAGTTACCCAAAGCGTGCATCAGCCACGACTAAAGTGAAGCGTGCATCAGCCACGACTAAAGGGTCACTGAAAAATGTGGCGGCGTTGACACTTCTTGCCGATTCAGAAGCAGGACTGCAATGTCACGCCAAAGGATGGCGGCATGACAAGAAAGCGAAGCCAAAGAATGGCGGGAGTCAAAAGTGACGCCAATTTTCGGTTCGGTGAGTCCTGACCCTTCCATGTGCAGTGGTGTGGGCCATTCGAGGGGCGAATCTCAAGTGTGCTCATGTGTACAAATTCACCCGTTCTCGGCGTACTCACAAGTTTCAAAATTTGCTAGTTTTTTTCCCGATTTGCCGTTTAGTGCGGTATAAAACGCTAAACAAAGCGTCAAAACGTTTTCAAATGTAAAGTCTGAGAGTGTGAAGTAAGGTGCACACCAGAACGACGAGTTCTTCACCCCCCGGGGTCATGCGTTTCAATGGCATGGCAGACACATGACAATCAACTCTTGTCGAATACCTCGAAGTGCTCCGCTGCCAGGCCGATGAGTTGAGAGGCAGGCTTGCTCTGCAGGCAGTCGATCTTGTCCGCCGTGGTGCTGCCGGTGCATCCCACCAGGTCGGCCACGCGGTCGGCGTTCTCGCGAGCAGAGTGCTGCTGAGCCCAGGGGTTGAGCGGGGTGCCACTCGTGCCGATCACTCTGTGGAACAAACCTGGCAAGGGAAACGTGATAAAACTGCTGAACCTGGCAATCTACTTGGTACACACTTATGCATTCTTGCAAGTACGACAAACACCAAGGTCGATTTTATTTTAAGTTTATTCTTGAGGTTAGAGTTGCACCTCAAACCTAACTGTCTACTAAGTACACACTCACAAACGCATGCTTGGCCGAGTACACACTTACAAACGCATGCTTGGCCAAGTACACACTTACAAATGTATGCTTGGCAAGTACACCCTTATAAACACCTATACTTAGCATGGAGTCATACGGCGCCAAGCATGCGTTTGTGTGTACTTGGCCAAGCATGCATTTGTACGTGAGTACTTGCAAGCATGCATTTGTAAGTGTGTAAGGGAGTATCACTGTTATCCAAGTTGCGATACTTTCTACAACACCAAAACGTGCGATGGTATCCGAAATGTGATTCCCACGAATCATTGCTCCTGAGATGCAATGACTTCTGTATCGATCAAAATTCTGCAATGATCATCGCAACTTTCTGCAATGAAAATCTGAATTATTGCAAAAATCTGCGATGATGACAACACAAAATCTGGAATCATTGCAGTTTTTCGCAATGATCATTGCAAAATTCTGCGATACTGAAGCTCATCACACCTATTAGCAATGTTTATCACCGAAAAGTGCGATGAAATTTGTATTGCGCAGAAAGTGTGGTCTGTATCGCAAGTGAAATAACAGTGATGGGGCGATTTGTAACAGGGGCGATTCGTAACAACTGCGTTTATTAATTTAAGTGGAGGGAGCTGATGAAAATCTGAGTATGGCCCCTCTTTCGCTTCAAGTACAGGGCCCTTCAACAATCGAAGCGGATGTGAGCGGTGCTCAGGTATAGTTTTGGAGGGCGTCTGAAATATAGGGTACACCGAAAACAGACAAATCTTTTATTTTGAGTTCTAGGAAGTTTCTGTCTGATGCTCCCCAGGTATGAATCACCATCGAAGTACCGTTGGGGCCTTGAAGCGTGACCCCTTTACAATGTAAACACGTGGCATAAGTTGCTTTTACTTTGTCCAGTGATAGTTAGGGACGGATTTCTTGCGTAACAGGCATTTGGGGTGATTCGTAATAGACCCGTATAAAAACAAGAATTTAAGTAGTTTTTGCAATTAAATGCTTGAATTATTTCTCGAATCATCTGCTGCCTTAATCCAATACATTTACACAGCTCGAAATGCATTTTAAAGCGAGTTATTCTATTCTTTCCTCTAAAATTGAAAAAAAGTGAGGTTAGGATTGACATAGCTGATCAGTTAATGCTGAGGCGGTCAATAGCAGCTTGTAATGTAGATTTTAAGGCGTCTGCAGGACATCCGAAGAACAACCGCTGGAGGAGATAACATTCCCGACGATGTTTCATTTAATGTGTAGGATGTTATGAAAAGCCCCATGGCTGTTACAAATCACCCCATGCTGGGGCGATTCGTAACAGCATGCAAGGGTTTGGAAGGCGTCTTAGATTTCAAAGATTACGGACTCAAGACTGATCCAATGGAGCTGCACAGTCTAGATAAAGGGCCAGACTGCTCCACTAGCACAAGTTTGACACCGATATGCAGAATGTTCTTAATTTTGTGTAGAGAATTCCGAAATCTGTTACAAATCGCCCCATACTCCCTTACTTAGTAGAAAGTTAGGTTTGTAGAGTAAACTCTTTCAAAGCTACAACTGAATAACGACCGAACGTTTTGCAACTGCAACTCTTGTAGAGTTACCTCTCGACAGCGGCGACATGGTGTGCAGCAAACAGCTGGCGCAGCCGGCGGAGTTGCCCACCAGCGTGACGCTGTCCTTGTTCCCGCCGAAGTAGTGAATGTTGCGCTGCACCCACTTCAGGGCCTCCACCTGGTCCAACATGCCCAGGTTGCCCCGCAGGTCCTCGTCCTCAAAGCTCATGTAACCTGTAAACGCAACAGGTGAGTTGGAGGAAATGTACACTTTTAACTGCATAGAGATCATTTTGGTAAAGAATATAAACAGATAAATCCGCAATTTTTAAAAAAAAATGTCTTTAGACCTTAAGGGCTGTGACCCTTTTGTTAGATATTGTACACTCAAAGTGTTCGTGTACCATTATACACGGGGTGTTGCAAGCTATTTCAAAAGTGTGCCTGAATCTGCTTATATTTAAGCACGTGTATGTTATGTAATATGCAAATTCCACGCATGAACAAAATCGCAAGTTACACGCTCGAAATGCTGCGTTATGCCAGGTTTAAGTGACAGGGGAAGAGTTTGCCTGGGCCACTATAAATCCAAAGGTGATATTATTAGTATCTGTTTTGACCGAAATTTGGCGATTCTTCGAAGTGACTATATTTGGCAATAATCTAGTTGTTGCACAACTACTCAACACTGCGAAGGTGAGTACGGAACATGTCATGTCGGGTCAAAAATTTGCCTTGACCGTCCGTTCCTGCCTTACTACGGAACTTCTGTCCTATTTTTCCGTTCCGTTCCATTTTCGCCAGTATATTTTTCGTACTTAAGTACGAAATATTTTACAGTGAAATACTATATTGCAGTAGCGTATTTACCGCTTTAATGGCGTAGCTTTCACTTTATCACACCAAAACTGTTATAGTCTGGCGTCAGACCGGCCTTTTCAACGCTGCTGATTGTATGAAACTAGTCACATTAGGAATAAAAGTGTTGTCTTCGACAGAGCATACCAAGCACGCTGAGGCGGTATGCGACGACGACTAGGACCACGTCGTAGTCCATGACGTATTGCACGCCGGAGCGGGGACCCCACTCTGCCATGAAACCACCGCCATGGATAAGAACCAGCACGGGCAGGTCACCAGTGACGTACTAGATCAAACATGAAACGGCTTCGGCTGAACAACACTCCATAGAAGAAGCTGCAATAAAAGCCGATGAACTCGAAGGTGATTCTCAATTCAAAGCACCCACGCGGCGTCGTTGTTAAAACACATTGCGGGGCCGAATGAAGGGGTTAGGATAGTGCGAAACGGACAAAATTTTCGTCTTCACGGCCGTAAGGTGTCCGGTGTAAAAATCAGAAAAAAAAACGTTAATACTAACGCTAACGTGAAAGCAGATGATACTGACAAGAATGTTAATCTCAGTGTATTGCAATTCATGATTAACACGTGGTTTAATGGACGAAAATGTTAATTTTGATTTAACTATTGAAGGTTTAGTGCGAACAAGTTTCTCATATGCAACGCTCGACCAGCCGCCCTATCAAGTTTAATCCCGCATTGTGATTGAAGGCGGAAACATAGTATCAGAAGCCATGCAAATACGACAACCAATTTTAATATTTGTAATTTTGAAAATTTGAATGGTGCATTGCAAAGAACGGGAGGATACGATTAAAACAATATAAGGGTTGTGAACATGTAAAATTGATCGTTCGACCGCTAGAGGCGAAAAACCACAAAATCTGGCGCCGGGACGCCGCGAAGCCGGGACAGCCTCCGCCTGTGTAGGCGGGGTGGGGGGGCTTGTGGCTGAGGACCGAGGCGGCTGCTCAGCGCTGCTTATCGCTGTCGGGTTGGGTATCGCGTCCGATCGCGTCGAGGGCGTTGTGAACGGTTGCGACATGAGATAGTTGATCCAGGAAGCGGAAGAAGGGGATAACTCAATTTTGGCCACTTTTCAGGAGAAACCAAAAACTGTTAGCAGGGTTAACTAAAACAAAACAAATGAATGTAGAAGATGTTAATAATTTTAATAAGTATTGGTAAAATTTTGGAAAAAAAACAAAAGTGTAAGGTCACTCCGTAGAGGATTTCTGCGACTTATCACTTTCCGTTAAATGGAAAACCGAGTCAGCTCACCTTATATTTCCTAAACAAAGAGGAATTTTGGAGACAAGTCAAGTGGAACAATAGTCTGCATAAAGTGTATGTTACCTGGGTATTTTTTGGACTAGCTCTTGGTTCCAAATTGAAATTTAAAAATTAGGGGGGGTTAGTTGAGTTGATTCTTTTTACACTAGATTCATAAAATACAAGTGAGTTATATCCTTTTGCCATTTGTCAAACGGACTCATGTGGACTTCGTTGAGTTATCTCCCTTTTCCAATGAAATTTAGACCGTAAAAGGGGTTAAGTCGAGTTATACCCTTTTTCCATGTGGATTTTCTCCTTAACTGCTTGGAATTCAGTCAAATTTGGTGTAATGATGGAAACCATTCTAAGGCACAATAATAAAATAAAAACTCAATTTGGGGATAAGTCAAGTTATTCCCTTCTTCCGCTTCCTGGATCAGTTACTGTCATGGGTAAGCTACGGGAGCCAGCGGATTCGTCACCTGCTCCAATATTCGGAGTAAATTTGTAAAAGCAGGCCGGCAAATTATTGGAGCAGGTTTGACGAATCCACTGGCTCCCGTAGCTTATCCATAACAGTAATTATCTCAGGGTTGCGACTTCATTCGTCCGACACGAGGTCCGACACGTCTTGATAAGCAAACCTCGACAACCCACTAAGAGCAAGAACATCAATTGTGGGCTCTGACCTGGTACCAAGGGGTGAATCACAAGTGTTCCCATGTGTGCACATTTTCCAGCACCTGTAATCAATTTACTGAAACGTTTTGATAAAGCAAAAGTCACAAATGTTTTGCGTAATTTGGTGTAGGTTGTCGTTTTAGACTTCAAGTTGGGCCTAAAAACGTTGCCAAATGTGAAATTTTCGAGTCTTTTTCAGGTGTATTCATACGCACTCATTTGTACAGCAGAGCGCTCAGTGATTCACCACCCCTCGCCTGGTGCTTACATTCGAGGTGAAGACTTGTAGATGCAAACAGTCCTCTTCACCGATCACATCTTGGAAGGTCCTCGGCTGTTGTATGCACATCGGGTCGAGTTCGTTGGTGGCGTTGAACTGATCGTCAGGGAGGTCTTTGGGCACCGGTGGCTGCAGTAAATTGTGCACACTTTAAAAGCTTTGCCACATCACAGTAAATTCAAAGTCGATATTTTGAGCACCTTTATTGGAGATACAATAGGGTATTTTAACGAATCCCTGGCCCGGAAGTAAAAGAACAAAAGTAAGAACCAAAACGGCTTCTGCGCATGCGCAGAGGTCCCCTCTCCACTCTGAGGCAGCGTCTGCGCATGCTCAGAAGCCGTTTTGGTTCTTACTTTTATTCTTTGACTTCCGGGCCGGGGATTCGTTAAAATACCCTATTGTGTATCGCCAACTATCAGCCTTATGGAAAAGTGTTGCCTTCAAACCAGCGGCGATACTTTTACTATGTATTGCCGCGATTTGGCTAGAAACTTTAAACAAATCAACGGGGCAAGTTCTTAGATTACTGCCAGATTTTGGCGATACCCAAAAGTATCGCCGGTTTGAAGGCAAGATATTTCGGCAAGGCCGCTTCTTGACGACACTACCGGCAATGGCAATAATATGGTGAATCATCGCCTTAGGAGTGATGGCTTCAAATTGTTTGAACACTAGTAATCTTTCTGCTTTGTTGGGCCCACACAAGTGTTGTTACCAGTGAATGACACCAAAAGCGCTAACAAGTGACAAAACTAAACTCATTTCAAAGGCAACAAAATTTTATAGCATTACGGAAAAGTATTGCCTTAAAAAAGGGCGATACACAAAAGTATCGCCAAAATTGGCGATATTTTGGAGTACTGCCCGTTTTGGCAATAAACGTCGAACAAATCAAGGGGAGAAGACCTTGGTTTAATGCCGTGGTTTTGGCAATCGAAAAGTATTGCCAAATTTTGGCGATACTTTTTTGTATCGCCGTTCTGAAGACAAAACTTTTCCGTAAAGCCGTTTATTGGCGATACTCAATTCACTGGTACTTTGACAATGTGACGAAAGTCCACAATCTCTTATTTTTCAGGAGAGTCAAAACAAGTCTAAAATTTGAGCTGCAAAATAGAGTTTTGGGATTTGATGGTTGAGTTTAACACCATAGAATCCTGAAGGCATGAGTTTTTCTTTAGGTTCAAGAGCCATTGCAATCGGCAGCTTAGTTCCCGAGATAGTGGACTTTCCCGCCATTTCTCAGCGTACGAAAATGAGGCCCAAAACGACGAAAGTCCAACCGTACTTTGACAAAACGACGAAAGTCCAACCGTACTTTGATAAAACGACGAAAGTCCATACGTAATTTGACAATATGGCGAAAGTCCACCTTTACTGCTAACACAAATTAAATGAAACTTTTCAACTCTGGCATGTTTTATGTTCATGCCGTCACTGAACTCATGAATAATTATCTTAATTGGAAAGCAATAGTTACCTACGACCGGTTTTGCAGTTGGGACTTTCGTCATTTGTCAAAGTACGGTTGGACTTTCGTCGTTTTGTCAAAGAACGGCTGGACTTTCCTCATCTTGTCAAAGTACAGTTGGACTTTCGTCATTTTGTCAAAGTACAGTTGGACTTTCGTCATTTTGTCAAAGTACGGCTGGACTTTCGTCATTTTGTCAAAGTACAGTTGGACTTTCGTCATTTTGAAGTATTTTCCTACGCTGAATCTATTAGAGATATCGACATATGCTTTTCACCAGTCGACAGAAAATCAAAAGTTCTAGAACGCAGCCAAAAATCTCATTTTAACAAAATTTTGGACTTTCGTCACTCTGTCAAAGTATCAGTGAATTGTATCGCCAAAAAATGTACTTTAGTATCGCCGTTGCATTTGCAGTGCAGCGTCACTAAGAACACAATGTGTGTACTCTACTCAGCGCACACTTGTGTTCCATGTGTGCACTTAGTGCACTATTTAGTTTTCAATACCCGCTTCAACTGTACCCTCGTGTTGCTCCGTCACCTTGAACCTGAGCTTGCCGACGGGGGGCTCGGTGAAGGGGATGCCCCAGAAAGCAGCGTAGTCCCTGGCTCCGACTCCTTCCCGCAGCCCGGCGCTCCGCAGACGCTTGCCCGTTACGCTGCCCCTGCCGTACGTGATGGAGGGGTTCTCGGGCAGCTCGGCGGCGGCGGCACTGAGGACGGCCGCCACGGCGATGGGCAGGAAGAGGTTCATGGCGGTTAAAACCATCAACGGCCGCGCACCCAAAAAAAAATCTACGAAGAAAATGAAGGCATTGCAAAGTAGCTCTGAATTATGAAGAAATGGTTCATGTTACAAAGGCTTTTGCTCCATTCACTGTGGCAAAAAGGTACGGAGAATTCTGTTAATTTTTTTGCCAGAATTCTCCGTAGCCCTCTTATCAATATTCTCTGTAGGCTCTTACAGTATTCTCCGTAGGGCCGCACAGTATTCTCTGTAAGTCCGCACAGTCTTCTCCGTAGGACCTGGAAGACTGTATAGTCCTACGGAGATCACTGTAAGGTCCTACGGAGAATACTGTGCGGTCCTACAGAAAATACTGTAAGAGCCTACGGAGAATATTGATAAGGGGGCTACGGAGAATTACCACAGGCTGTTTACAGAATATTCCGTAGCTTTTTGCCACAGTGTTATACGAAGCATTTTTTTTTTCGTACATCCTACAATGCCTTCGTTTTCTTCGTAGCACGAAGCGACTCTACGTAGCACGAAGCGACGCTTCGTAGAGTTTTCACTGAGCGCGTGCGACGCCCAAGGACGGCGGCGGCGGAATGGCACTGGCCACGTGAGGACGGAGCAGTCGCATGCGCGACTTGATCTCACTAAGCTCCAAGATTATGGATCTGGCGGTCAAGTGTCTTCCCGAGAGATACGTTGCGTCTGCTCCTAATCGCTGCCCCGGCATTGCCTTGCGTTCATCAACAAGAGTGAAAGTTTGTAGGTTTAACGCCATCGCGCCGAACACTGTGAGAAAAAAGTACGGAAAAAGTACGGAACATGTCTGGTCAATAATTTGCCTCGACCGTCCGTACTTGCCAACTACGGAACGTTCCGTACTCTTTTTCCGTACCCATTTACATGGGTTCATATGGAGCAAGTGGGTCATTCCACGTCAAGTCGACAAGGCCTCTGCCACCCTGGTCACCGAATTGATTCTTCTTTTCAGGGTTTGTTACCCCCATGGTACTAGTTTATGACCGGTACAAAGTTTTTCGAAAGTGGCCCCAGGCGCTGAGATATGGCGAAAACCTTTTTTCTCAAATTGTTGCACCGACGCGACTTTGAAGGTCGATAGCGTCGGTAATATGCATCGTACACCAAATCCGCGACCAGATTTGGAAAGAGGAAGAAAAATCGAATCTTTCAGCAAAGATCACTTTTATGTTTCAAGATTTTTTGTAACTTTCAAACTTTTACTAAGTTTTAAAATTTGCACAGTTTCCAAGTACCTTAACCAAATTTGACCCCCGTTGGCTTAAAACTTAGCTTGAACCTTCTTCTAATCAGAAATGTTGACCACAAAAAACGTTTTGGACCGTTCTCGAGAACGACCCATTTCCGTGGACCTCTGCAACACCCTTTTTCACTACTAAACGGTTTTTAGCGCACCCAGCTCGGTCTGGGCGCCCTTCGTGACCTAATCCAGGTTCCGGGTGTCTAGCGCCCCTTCCGGGTAGGCAACCCACCGTGTCCGGGTGCACTAGAACCCGACGGGTTCCCTCTTGAAGCATGGATTTAGCTCAGAAGTTGCGAAAATCTGGGGCCGAAATTGCAGACGATTAACTGTAGCAGGGGCTGTTTAGGGGTGGACGCCTGATCGTAGGCAACCACCATCACTTGCGCCTATAGGTGAGCCTCCCCTGTCGGGGCTCCTTAAACCGCGCCCGAGCTGTCGTCTAATCTTTCAAGTTTAAGCGCCTGGTTCCCAAAAGAAAGCGTGAAGAGGATCCAGCGTCTTACCTGCGTGGTTCATGAATTCGAAGCAACTTGTAGAAAACCCAAGACGTTCTAAAGCAGCCCTTAGATAAAGGGCATGAACATTGGAGAGTGCTGGAATCGTATTAGGTCTCTAGCGGAGAAGGGTTCAATAGACTGCAGAGGCGGGTCCAGAAGCGACGTTCGGGCGGGGCAGTTGCACTTTTAGCCTTCGTACAGGGGCAAAGTTTAACTTTTTGCCTACTTACAAATGCACAGTATGGGGTTAAATAGCCTGTGCCCTCCACCCCCCGGCGCTGGTGCCTTCGGGTGTTTAGTGCCGGTCTGGACAGGACGTTATACTCTCGTGGCCGTTGACTGCCGGGAGACGCTTCGCTCCAAATTTGGCGGCCCTCAAGCTGGGTGCCTTTGTCGTCTGTCGTACTTTTTGCACACTCTAAGTCTTACGAAGAAATTTCCCATATTGCAAAGGAAATGGCGCACGCATAATACGGAGGTGGATTTTCTTTGTATTACGCAGGATTTTCTTTGTATCTTACAATGAAAAAGCTAAAAAGATTCGTATTACGAAGGAATATTCCTTCGTATTATACTTGAGCCGAATTCACTGTAACATACGAATAACATAGGTCAAATTTCATTGCAAGACATTAAGAGTGCAGGACCAAGTGCCTCTTACTATCTGGCACCTTTGTCCACCTTTGTCGCCTAGTCCATAAGAGCGTGACTGGTCTCAGGTTCCAGATATGATGAAGCAACTTGCCTTCGGCCATAGCTTGGCAGCAGCAAAGGTGCGTCGAGAGCAGGCCCGTTGCGGATTGATTTGATGACCTTGAGACTAAGCGACAGAGGTGCCCACAAATTGAGCAAAATTTCACGCCCTAAAAAATAGAGCGGCCTACAAGGGTGCCCCGTTTCAGGACATTCCAATTTCTCTGACTCGGGATGGGGGAAGTAAATTACGTCTGTAGAAGGTGCACACCACCATGAGAGGACATTCCATGATTTTCATAAACCACTCTGCAAACTCAAGTGTGTGCCAGGCACACACTTCCTGGTGCATGCCTGCAGGCACACATTTCCTGGTGCATGCCTGGCGGGCCACATTTTTTCTGCATGCCTGGCAGGCACACACTTCCTGGTGCATGCCTCAGGCGCACACTTGCTTGTATGCATGCATAAGCGACGGCAAGTGTGTGCCTGCAGGCATGCACCGGGAAAGTGTGTCCCTGCAGGCGGCACCAGGAAAGTGTGTGCCTGCAGGCATGCACCAAGAAGTGCATGCCTGGCACACACTTGATTTTGCAGAGCATTGCGCCCCCTTTTGGACCTAAAGCTATACAAGAAAGTGTCGTTGGACGGGGAAACCAGCAGAGGGGAATTCCGGGGAAATATAAGTAGATTCTCTGCACACGCCTGGAGGGTAGGAAACCCGTAGACCGGCTCAAATTTCCCGAAGGTTCGAAATGCCGATGCGCGGAAACGGAATTGGGTTTCCCTTTTCCCGGGATTCTAAGACTCGGGGAATTTTTTGGGGGTTTTTGAGGTCACCGGAAGTGGTCCCGCACGGCGGGGTAAGTTAGGCGCACTGCTAATTCGTAGACCAGCAGTAAAGGGGCCCTTAATATTCATTTTACGGGATATTCATGAAACAAAAGTTGTCAGAAATGGTAAAATTTAATAAAATATAAAATGTCTGTTTTCAAAAATCAAAATTTGCAATCTGGGTGCCTACCTGTGAGGGTAACTGGCGCCTATTTTAGTCGGAACCTCAAAATGAAGGGATTAAGGCGTAAAACTGTTCGACAATCAATTTGCCCCTTCTGGTGGTGCTATTTTGAGTGCCCAATCTTCTTTGGTATAACGGAATTTTTGGGGGGCCCTTTTGAGAATATTGTCCTGTTTGCGCTTGGGCCCCGGTTGTGGCTAATAGCTCGTTTTCTTTTTGTTTTACTCGGTGCTTTTGGAATATTCAATCGCGGAGATATAAAAAGCGCGAGAACGGAGAAGAAAATCCGGACGGACAGGCCTTTAGCCTTTGAAGTCTAAAATAAAATTTCTGAACAAATTACTTTCATTGGCTTCACCATTCCCTATCTCCAACCGATCTTTACTAAAATTGTGATGAAAGTAAGCGATTTGATAACTTTGCTTCACCAATGCACATTCGCATGGACCAGGTCAAAACCCATTTCGCGAGAGCTTCCTTTTGTCTTAGAATTCATCCTACTCGGAAGCTTTTATTTCGATTAATAGATTGATCGCCACGAGCCTGAACTCATTTGAGTATACTCCCACGGCACAACTGATGCTTTCTATTGTAAGTGTGTTGCATTGAGTACTACACTCCGAAGAGTGCGTATTCTGATGACTTTGCCAAGAAGTTCAGAATAGGACGAGCTTTTCGTTACCCTTCTCATCAAAACCGTCGTAAAAACCGTTTGGCGCGTACTCTTACGTACTGATATGGAAGTCTCAAATTTTGATGTGGCAGACTGTTCCTGAGCTCACACCTTACTCCCAGGTAGAGCAGTGTTCATCACACAAAATTACTATGTGGGTTTTTCTGCGCGCTAATGCACGAAATTGTACATGCATTCGTAACGCACGAATTTGTGCGCGATAATGCACGATTTCGTGCGCGTATGCAGGAAATCGTGCATTGCGCGCAAAAATTCGTGCGTTACGAAGTGCATGTACAATTTCGTGCATTAGCGCGCAGAAAAACCTACATAGTAATTTAGTGTGATTGACGAATTGCTCCAATAGATGTATACTAGCTTTAATATAAAACGACACTTACGTGACTCTCCCACCCACACTCAAAAACAAACAGTCTGCCTTCGGTTTTGAAGACTTTCCTCGCAGTGCCCGGGTCACCACGCTCCAGCCCTTCGCAGTGTGGCTTTTTCCTAGTTTCCGCGCTAATACTATGTCGTATTGAATCTTCGGAAATCACAGAGTAAAAACGAGAAGAAACCGAGCTTAGCCACAATCCTGGCGCCCAAACGCAAACAAACAATACTCATTTAAAGGCCCCCCAAATTTAAACCGTTGGACCAGAAGAGGATTGGGCACTCAAAAAAGCACCACCAGAAGGGCCAAATCGACTGTCGAACAGTTTTACGCCTTGATCCACTTCATTTGAGGCTCCGAGCTAAAATAGACGCCAGTTACCCTTACAGGTAGGCACCCAGATTGCAAATTTTGAGTTTTGGAAATCATAATTTCATATTTTTAATTAATTGACCATTTCTGACAACTTTTGTTTCATGGAATATGCCCGTAAAATGATATTAAAGCCGCTTAACTGCTGGTCTATGTATTAGCAGTGCGCCTAACTTACCCTGCCGTGCGGGACCACTTCCGGTGACCTAAAAAACCCAAAAAATGCTCAGAGTCTTAGAATTCGGAAAGGGAAACCCAATTTCCCTTTCCGCGCATCGACATTTCGAACCTTCGGGAAATTTGAGCCCGGGCTAGAAACCCGTCGGGTTCTAGTGCACCCGGACACGGTGGGTTGCCTACCCGGAAGGGGCGCTAGACACCCGGAACCTGGATTAGGTCACGAAGGGCGCCCAGCCGATGGGTGTAAACCGTTTAATAGTGAAAAGGGGTGTGCAGAGGTCCACGGAAATGGGTCGTTCTCGAGAACGGCCCCAAAAGTTTTTTGTGGTCAACATTTCTGATTAGAAGAAGGTTCAAGCTAAGTTTTTTAAACCAACGGGGGTCAAAATTTTGGGTTTAAAGGGACTTGGAAACTGTGCAAAATTTTTAAACCCTTTGTAAAAATTTGAAATTACAAAAAAACCCTTTAAACATAAAAGTGATCTTTGCTGAAAGATTCGATTTTTCTTCCTCTTTCCAAA